GGCAGACAGAGCCCAGATCCATGTTGATTAATCCCAATAAGCCAGCCATAGATTTACAGCAAAATAGTGGATAACCCCATCAAACCTGCATCTTTAGTTCCACTGAAGTTCAGGCTGGTTTCTGACTGTGAGGCTAGAACCTGATTTGTTTAGCCTGCAACACTCTGTGTGCCTCCTGCCAGGTTGAACTGGGTTTCCTCCCTGCTTGAACTCAGCTCCTTGACCTCCTGCTGACTTGAATTCAGTTCCACCTTACCATGACACTGGAACCACTCAGTGAAATCAAGCCACAGCTGCTCTGAGTTCTGAGCTCAATGAGCCCCTCTCCACTATGGCATCTGGCCAATCGTCCTTCCCTGGGGGACATCTGAACCTGAATAACTCACCAGCCACCACAGTCTGCTGCATCCATTGCTCTATTCCACTGGTGTGTTTCTCCATGGAGGCCTCTGGGGTCACCGGTTATCCCCATGCATCTGCAGGTTTGAGCTCGGAGAGGCTATTTCTCTGCTGCTCACCACTGTGTCATCTTCCCACAAGTCTTTTAACCATTTTAAGTGTATGCATACTGCAGTATAATCTCTCTGTACATTGCTATCTGCCCATCACCACCATCCATCTCCAGAACTCTTTCATCTCCCCAAACTGAAATTCTGACCCCATTAAACAGAAATTCCCCTTGCCTCAACCTCAGTCTCTCCTGAAAGCCACCATTCTGCTCTGTGTCTCCTAGTTTGACTAATCTAGATACCTCAGGTGGAATTACAGAGTATTTTCCTCTTGTGACCAGGTTATTTCATTCAGCATAATGTCTTCACATTTGCCTAGGCTGTAACCTGTGTCAACTTTTCCTTCCTTCCATTTCCTTCTTGGACTCTCTTTCCCTGCCAGAAAGATATTTCAAGTTATCAGTGGAGCAGAAGGGATAGGAGATAGCCAGGTAGGGACTGCAAAACCTCACTCAACTCTTTCTCTCTTTGTGTCCTGTATGTGATCTTTGTTTAAACCACAGTTACTGCCCACATTCATTAGAGCACAGGTCATGTGCCTGTGAAGGAGGTAGACCCTGTGGCCATGCCATGCATCATCCCCAGGGCTGGTTATGTTCCCATAAGTAGGACAAGGAAGGACAAAATCAGGTACAAAGCTATTTTCCCAGAAAGGGTCAGCATAATAGCACCCAGAAAGTTTCATCCCAAACCCTGACTTTTTACTCACAAAGTCAGTTGTACAATTGTAGGACAAAGATCTGACTAGGAGTTAGTTCTTGGGATACAAAAATAGTAGGAAGGGGGTGGGTAAAGCTTAATGGAGGTATAAACTGGCTTTTTAAAAACCAAAAAAAATAGGACAAAGTTGGGTAGCATTGATGAAGACAACATCTGTATTTGAAGAAAGATGATCACATTCTGCCCTTCTTTCAGACCATACCTGGTCCATTTTAAGAACAGCGGTGACTGATTAGAAAATTATAGTCAGGATGGCAGAGATCAAGAATTTATACACCTCCAAAGACCAGAACAAGGGGAAACACTTAGAATTCAGTCCAGTGCTTTTAGTGTTGTTTGAGCAGTTGGCAGATCTTGAGATGAGAAACTGGCTCAGTGCCCTGGGAGTTTACCATCACCTCCCAAGGAGACAATGGCAGCAATCATAGCTAAAGGCACGTGGGCAAATGTATGCCAGGTGTTGCTGTAAGCACCTTACAGGCAATAATCACCCCATACACTGTTGTCTCTACCCCGCCCACATTAAGTGGTGGGTCCAAGAGGAGGAGCTCTGCTAGCTGGAACAGGACAGTGAGAGCTAGGCGGTGCTACTTGGTGCCAACTGGAAGGCCCTCTGGGTGGCACAGATGTTTCTAAGCTGTGGGTGACATGGCATGATCAGAGTTTGTTTCAAGGAGAGTTCAGGGTTATTTTAGCTAATGAGGAAGGATGAAGTGTCCAAGATGGCCATCCATAGCTAGAGCTGCTTTGACAAATAGTGAGCTCTTGGGACCTAGGAGTGTGGGTTAGGCTTGCCAGCTCACCCAAGAACCAAACAGGAGAGACTCCTTTAGTGTCCCTAAAAGAACATTGTAAGCTCCATCTGTATCCTGAGAAATCAAGATTCCTATATGCTTTCCAACACTGCCACTGATGGAGAGACCCAAAATCATTAAAGCATTGGGCAGGTTGATGAAGTTTTGGAAGAGCACTTTCAAATGCCAGCCTTGACAGCCTGTCTTCCCATGACCCACAAGGCGCCATCCTCGAGAGTTACCATCTCTGCTCTGGAGGGGCCACAGTCTCCGGAAGGCAGGAAAGCACTGATCCTTTGTCAGAGGTTGCATTTGTCAGCTGGTACTGCAGTAACAAATAGCTCCTTCATTGCAGTGCCTTATAACAGTGACATGGTTCCTTGGCAGAGAGCAGGAAACAGTCAGAGCCAAACCTCATCACCACATTCAAAGGTCCTGCTAACAATGGCCAGCAGCATATCCACTCACATACCATTGAACAAAATATATCCCATGGCGTTGTGTGGGATATATGATCCCACAGCTGGGAACCATAACCTACCCTGTAATGTGGCTGATGTGCACGGAGGGCTGTCTGTACTGAAAGGTCATTAGACTAGATGACCATGTGGGTGACTCGGTTCCATACTCTGAAATTATTTCATAACCCTTCTGGAAGGCACTCTGCTGAGTTAGAAGGCTGGCCTCTCCCCCCATTTTCTCACTGTCTTTTCTCCCTTTTGGCAGGTGGGTGGCAGGCCCATGGAGCCCCTGCTCAGCAACCTGTGAGAAGGGTATCCAGCATCGGGAGGTGACGTGTGTGTATCAGCTACAGAATGGCACACATGTTGCTACACGCCCTCTTTACTGCCCGGGTCCCCGACCAACACCAGTGCAGAGCTGTGAAGGCCAAGACTGCCTGTCCATCTGGGAGGCATCTGAGTGGTCACAGGTGGGTACCTTGTTGTTGCTTATGCTAAGGCCCTTCTGTAAGGGGACCCCAGAATGATATCTGATGTGTCCCCATGATCACAGTCCTTGCCCGTCCATAAGTGAGCTCAAAGTTGTATTCCAGCTCATACTTTCTTAAATCCCATCTGAGATAACAGCATGGCATATACATGTATACACACACATGCATGCACATGCACATATTTTTGGTGTTGCTTATATAGACTCCACAGTGAAAGTATTATCTGTTCTATTTCTTATGAATATTCTCACATATAGATAGACACTGATTGGCTTTTTAATCCTCCTTTGAGCATGTTTGGACTGTAGGGTGGTCAAATAGGGAAAGTTGGTGTCAAAAATTTTCTTTTAATGCCACAGCAGTCTTAGTACATCGCAAGAGTCATATGTTGGAAGGGACACCCTTTGGTATGCAAGTCAGAGTTACAAATCTCACACCATAAAACATTTGGAAAGGTGTCAGTTCAGCCTTAAGTTTTAACTTTGAAGGTTAGTCCTGGAAATAGTATTTTTATCTTTGGTGATATCATCGCTCATGGCTTTGTATTGACTTTACCTTAATGATCTTGATTGTTTGCCTATAAAACAAACAGAAAATCAGTAAGTAAATGGCAAGCGTCCCTCAGGTCTTCCACCAAAAGTGGTCTAGGAAACTCAAAGAGGCTAGATCCAAGACACTCTTCAGTGTGGAAAATATTTTTAAAGTTCCCTTTGATTGCCAAACAGTCAGAATTATTTTCAATAAGAAGGTATTTGGCCCATTTTTAATGAACAAGTTATGTGCCATTGGCTGCTCTATACCTTAAGTTTAATTTTTAGAAAGATCTTGAAATGTACCCATTTAGAAATCTGGGTCCGTAGCCTCTTCTTTATGATACTCTAGGAAGAGATGAGAACTGAGATGTTGCTGATTTTTTTCTGTGTGTATACTTAGGTTTGCAAGTTTAACATCCAAGGGAATTTTTCTTTTACTTGAGCAGAGGCAGGTCTACAGCCACATTTCCTCTCGTGCTCTGTATGTGAGTCTTGGGGTCTTGATCACCTGGCTTATGATCCAACAAGATATATTCTTTAATCAGATCAAAATCATAAGTATTTTACCCAGATTCTTGGAGAAGGGATGCCTCGTTACCAAAAGAACAAAGCCTAAAATTATTAGTTTTTAGAGCCTTGAAGATCACCATGTTTAGAAAATGTGAGACATTGGAGCAATAGTTAAAGAAATTTTTCTGTGAGTATATTCGCTGGTATACCTAATCCCAGTCTTGAACTAGCATCTCACTTATACTCATCTTGGCCCAGCCCCACCAGCTCAGCCAAATGCTGCTTTCTTAACATTTATTAAATTATTCCCCCATGCGTTGCTCACAAAGCGAGTATTTCTGTGCCTTCACCGTGTGCTGATTCCCTGCCAGCGCTTCTGCTGGAAGCTGGGTATAATTTTCTCCTGGGAGGGTTTTTATCAGTGAGGTGGCTCGCACTGCCTACCTACCCCAGACTTTATTAGAAGGGGGATCAAATATGTAGAAGAGAGGGAGAGGTATGGCTAAGTCTTGCCCGTCCTGGGCTTTGTGGGTCCGTCCCTGATGGAAAGCAAAGAGAGAAATTGAGCGTGGCCCTTCCAGGTCCCCTCCCAGGCAGCACTGGCCGGTAGCAATGTCAGGTTCCACACATCCCTGTGTACCTGCTGCCTCTGCACCCATCATCTTTGTCTCCTGTCTCTCCTTGCTGCTCCAGGGCACGGCATTCTTAAACACCTAAGGGGCTTGCACACCGTCTGTCACCCCTTAGGCCCTGCCTGCGTGCCTTCTACACACTGTCCTTTGCTATGTCTCCCTGCAAGTAAGTAAACTACCAGCGGGCACATTCCTGTTTCCAGTCTTGGCTTCCACAATAAGACATTCGCAGGCACTGTCTGTGAGCAGTTGCCACCTGCCTTGGTTTTTGTCTCCCTCTTTCTTGTCCCCAAATCAGGGTCTTTGCCATGTGTACCTGGCATCTGGCCTCAGCCCTCACCATGCTCCAGCTGGTCCCTCGCCCCCAGTTCCTCATTTACCCTTTGAATTTGTGCACTGCGTTGTCTTTTGGACCTGATGACTGCCCACTGAAGTCCACTCTCCTAGATCAAACTTCCAGGCACCCCAGGTCCTTCTGAGTACTGACGCCTGTCTCTCCCCATCACCAGCCATCGGGCTGGGGTCTCAGCTGGGACTGTGTGCATAAGATTCTGAAGGCCCTGGCCTTTGTGGGGTCAAAGCATAGCATCATCCTTGCAGACCCCCTGGGTCTGATATGTAGTAGGGACATCATAGTTGATGGATCTGAAAGGAATTGGACTGGATTAAACACCTGTGTGATGTCTTGCAGTGCTCTGCCAACTGTGGTAAAGGGACGCAGAAGCGAACAGTGACGTGTACCAACTCCCAAGGGAAATGCAATGCATCCACGAGGCCGAAAGAAGAGGAGCCGTGTGAAGACTACTCAGGCTGCTATGAGTGGAAGACAGGGGATTGGTCTAAGGTGAGAATAGTGCACCAAGTTCTTCCAGGTAGTGTCAACCTAGCCAGGTAAATTCACTTTCCCAGTGCAGCACCTGCTAATGACCCCACTTGTTCCTGCCTGCCCCGCAGCTGTCAAGGCGCTGCCTCTGGGAGCTTGCTGGGAGCATGCCACTGCTCCGCATGCATTCTGCAAGAAACCAAATGTGGCCTGAAGCATGGAGCTGGTGCTCTGGTGCTACTCCAGCCATGCCTGCAGCATGCTAGTGATGCCGTGGCATCCTGCTACAGGCCTGGCTTCCCAGCCGTCTGTCACAAAAGCGTGTGAATATGTGGGAGCCTTGGACAAGGCAGACAAATGGGGGGCTCTTGAGCAACATCACCTCCATTCATTCACAGGGTGCTTAGGCAGAGACCTGGAGGATACAGGGGATGTCACAGAGCTGTCGGCTCAGTGCCATCAGGGCAAGGAGAGTTCCACGGCAATGGAATGTTTTTCAGAGTAAAGAAATTCTTTGCTCTGGAGCCATTCGTTTATTAATTTCCCTGATATCTTTGAATGATTTCTATTTACTGCAGACTGAGGTCAGCATAAGAGTCTCGTCGCAAAAACCATTCAAGGTCCAATGAAAGCGGAGAGTATGTTTATGTTTCCTTATGGTCTTAGCAACTGGAAATCTCTCCTAATCTCTCTGGCTTAAGGTTTGCCAGCCAGTGACCTGAGGGCCACTGGTGTTTGCTTGGCTTATGCAATAATCTTAAACACTATGGAAGTAACTGCCAACATTTAAAAATGGAAAAATGTGCACCCCCAAATTTGGAACTGGGTTTAACTATGAGAATCTGGCAACACAGCCCAGGTGAGTGATTTGGTTTCTGCCTGTACTTCATGGGAGGAAGAATGACTTGTCCACTGGAAAGCAAACCTCGTCAGAATCTGATCCTTGACCAAATTGCGCTCACCTTGACCTAACACAGAATACAAAAGCCCTCCAAACCCTCTGAGTACAAAGAAGCCAAATTTCTCAGGTCACAGTTTGCCTGCTATACTGAAATGCAGCCTCTGAACAACAGTGAATTTGGGGAAGACCAAAACCACCTCCTTCCTATCTTCTCCTGGATCAAAGATCTGACCAAAGCGATAGAATCAATGGCCGATGGGCAATGGTCCATTCTGCCCCTACTCCCGAAAACAGATGTTACGTGGACATTAAAAAGCTCAATATAGAGCTGCTCGGATGAGTCTTATGTCAGAGGGGAAATGTAATTTCAAGGAAGCATGCACTGGGCCATGAGAACGCTCTGGGCCTGAGACATCAGGGGCTGATTGGCCCCGCTGAGTCTCCACTGCCCTGGTCTCAGTCTCAGGTCTTTATCTCTAAGATGGGAATCACGATGCTTGGCCCTGCCTGTGACTCAGAGAAGTTCCAAGGTGCTGGTAGAGAGGACAAAGCATTTTGACAACTGATCCTGACTCACTGCCTTGGGCCACCCCAGTGCTCACCTGTAGAGTCACAGTCCCCAGGATGCACCTATTCTGACCAGCTGTAACTTTGTCTCATCACCCAAGTTTCCACGGCTTGTACAGGATGACACTGGGAAGTGTTGTTTCTATCCACCCAGGTCCATCCGGACCAGCTTGGGAACTGTCACGATTGAGGGCACACAGGTATATTCTGCCTCCAGTGGAAGCTCTGGCATCTCCTACAAACACAGCCTCTCCTCACATCGGCCACAGTGCTGCTGAGTTGAGCCCACTCTCAGGGGTGTGGTGCAGGCCAGTTGTGCCCCCTGCCACAGGTGCAGTCCTTCGGCTGGCACCCATTATCCCGGGCTGGCAAAGCCCAAACCTTGACGAGGGCCCGCAGGAGGGGCACACTTCCTGTCCCCATCCTGCCAGCGGCAGGCATCCCTCCTGCTGTGCTATGTTTGCAAACTGATCTGCAGTCTCCTTCCCTCCAGGAATAGTAACTTTTTCCAGAAGACAGTGCAAGTCATCATTTGGCTGCCCCAAACATTGGATCTGGGTACCCAGCCCTGGGGGTGGGGCACTAAACATGGAGGAAATCTCATTTCTTCCTGGAATCGTGTGACTTCTGATTAAAAGTTGAAATGTTTCAGGTTCAACAGGAAAGACATTCATTCATCACCACTGAAATGATGGGATTCTTCCCCATGCGAAATCAGTTGTTCCAGAGGGATTGTAAGGGATGGTGTTTGCAGGAAACCCTGGGCTCTCTGTGTGTGAAGAGTATGGTGCAGCAGGTGCTGAGAAGATCAAAGCGCTCTGTGACCTTCTGCCCCAGTGGAGGCTGTGGAGAGGCGGGTCTGACCTGTAGCAGGTCCCTCTCCAGCTGAACCTGCTTTCTTTCTGTCTGGGATGTGGTGGGTTACAGCTCCCCCAGAGAACATCAGATGATATAATCAGCCTGCCAAGAACCCTTGGAGGACAGCAGAGAGAACCCTCAAGTTTACGCAGACGTCACATCCGTACACTCCCCAGACCCTTGGCTGTTAGACGCTTCTGTGTGCCTGGGTAGGAGATGAGTCCCATGACTTAACCATGAGCTGACCTTGTGTCACCTGGGCGCTACTTACAGAAAGTTCATCAGCCCCGATGCCACTTCCCGAGCCTGCACTTTCCTTGGTGGGACCTGGCTGCCCAGCTGGGATCCCACTGGCTGTGGGCCTGTGGCCAGACCTCTGTGGTTCAACAAGCATTTTCCAAGCTACTGTCCAGCCATACACGCCCGTGGGGAGGCCTTTGGAGCTGGCAAAGGGACGGTACCCACCCTGGACGTAGGCCATGCTGCACCCCTGCCGTGTGAAGCCAGTGCTGTGGGACAACCTCGTGGGCCCCACCAGCGGAGGGTGGTGCTTCCTTTTGGGAGAATCTCTGACAGTGGTCTGTGACTTCCGCCACTGCTCTAGAATCTAAGGGCACTTTCGCGTGTATGGTCTCAGTCCTCACAACCGTCTCTCCTCTTCTTATAGATGAGGAAACCGGGCTCAGAGTGGTGATGTGGGTTTTCTCCCAAGATCACAGAACTAAAACGTGATGGGATGAGTCTAGTCCCTGCCTTTTGTCTGGTAATCCATCTTTCTTTCCATGCGCCATAATCCCAGAGGCTTAGATTCCTAATTTGAAACAAGGAACTAAGCTATAAGATAACTTCATCTGTGCTATCAAAGGCACGTGCTTGTTAGAATCAAGTGTCTTCCTGGTCTCCAGTCCACTACTCCCATCAACACCTGCTTCCTCCATAGAGTTAGTATAAGTGTTACCACTCTATGAGATCTTACACATTCATGAAGTCTCCCTTTAGCTGTAAAATTAAAAATTGAGTCCTCGTTAAAGGAAACATGAGACCAAGAGTAAGTTTGAGCAACATCAGGGATGCTAGGGTCCTCTTTTGGCACGTGGGAAGCCCTTTCATTGTGACAGGGATAAGCAAATCTTACACTGGGTAGTGGTCATGGGAGTACGAATAGTCAGAGAAAGGAGGGTCATGAGAACCCAGTGCTTTTCTGGACAAGGACAGGAGGGAGACAGATATCCCTGGGCATGAAATGCTTTCTGTGGTCAGCAGGTTAGAGGAATGTCCAAGGCCCAGCGCCTGCCCAGCTGAGAGAAGTGGGCTTGCTGGAGAGTAGCAGATTCCCTGGAAGTTGCCAGAGAGACCCCATGGTGGACATGCAGAGGCTTACAGAGGCTGTGCTGGTAACCTAGGCCAGTGGTCCTTCCGCCTGCTCCCTGGGGGATGAGAGATCAGAGTGGGCATCCGTCATCCCAGCTCCTCTGTACCACAGTCTAGGTTCCCATCTCTGCCCAGACCTGCCCATGAGCCAGTGAGGCCAAGGTCCCTGAGTCTCCTGGGCCACACAATGTCAAGACAGCACAGAGCTGCCGTGGCTCTGCCATGGCCTCATCTAACCTTGCCTGGGTGTCGTCCACCGTCAGTTGAGTCCTGTGCCCCGCTGCAGTGGGCTGATGGGGGAGTGAATGACATCCCAGCATGGCCCTCGCCCCACTGCCTAGCATATAGCGAATGTCTCTGCGTGCGTGCATGCGTGTGTGCGTGTGTGCGTGCATGCATGCATGCATGGGTGTGTGTGCGTGTGTCAGGAAGCATTTTCCATTTCAGAGCTGGCATGAGCAGTGCAGGGATGCTCATTACTGTTGAGACCTGCTATTTCAGGTTTCAACAGCTTCTGTCTGAGGTTTTCATGGCTTATGCCAAGTCTGGGAGGAAAATGTGTCAAAAATGCCTTTGAAGAGCTTTTGACATTTCACCAGCAAAGCGCCTTCCAGACGCAAACAGAAACTGCAGTTGCTGTCAGGATCCTTCCCTGCCCTCTCACTGTTGGCGACTCTCTCTCAGGGAGGCCGTGGGTGGTTTTCTTGTACACAGGGAGTCAGTTCCTCCCTGCCTCATGGGCGGCTGATGCCATCGCAGAACCCTGCTGGCCCAGCCCCTCCCTGTGCGGGGCAGCCCTGGCCTGAACCCACTCAGCTGGAAGCAGAGTCATCTTCCTCCTCAGAGTTTCCGTCTCCTGTAGTGAATCCTGCAAACACCCCACTGGATTCGGGCATAATTTATAGCCATAATCAGAGCTGGGAGAAGGGAGGGGAGGGAGCCCCTGCAGGGTAGGGGGTGTCACCAGGCCGGGGCCTCTTGGCAGTGATAGAGACCCAGTTGGGTGGAGTGTTGTGGCCAGGCCAGTGGGCAGGACAGTGTGCGAGGCGAGGGCACTGCTGTGTGGCTTGGAAAGAGTTATGTGGACATTCTGAGCCCCAAGTCTGCCTCTCTGAAAAGTGGGGCCCTACATGCATTTATTGAGCACCTATTGTGTCCCAGGCCCTGCCCTGGCCACAGTGACTGTCCTCATAAGAACTAATACAAATATATGTAAGCTTAAGTACGTGATTCATAGGCAGAAGGTGGGCTTTGTTGCTATATCTACTGTTGCTATTGTTTTTTATTTTTATTCTAAAAAAGCCAAGCCAGTCGTGCCTGTACC